ATTAGATTATAATATATACTGTATCAGGCTCATCATATTTAAACAATAGTCTTTTGTTTATTAATTATTTTAATATGTTATCTCAAATAATTAGAATCGATAAATAGATCACACATTAAAAACTCTTCAGAAATATCTTTTTTTGGCATGTAAAAATACATATAAATTTTAGTAATTATACTCATATACTTTTTCACCTTCATCGTTTGTGATTTTAATTTCAAATCCAAATGATACTATATTTGATTTCATTATTTTTAATATTTATTTACTTATTGTTTTAAATTTTATTCTACTCTAACTTTTTGTATATAACTCATCATTACTATATTAAGAAATGAATATTAATAACTTTTTAAACAAAAAATAATAGATTATATATTATATTTTGTAGTGTAAAATGTATTATTCGAATTAAATATTAATTTATATAAAAATTACTTGATTAAAATATGCATAAACATAATATGCATAGTTTATCTGCTCATAGAAAAATTATTTCATCCTCTATAAAACTTTCAGTTAGCAGAATATCTAGTGCTCAACCAAACTATAAGCTTCTTAATTAAAGTCCCTTAGAATTTTTCTTAAAAATCAAATATACCATTAAAAATAATTGAAAAATATTTTGAAGAAGCTTTCTTATTCAACAATAATTGATAAGTTGTTTCTTCTTTACAAAATGTTTCTAGAGAGGTTAAAAAATATTTATAATATTAATACAATTTAATAAAAGTTTAAGAACTTAATAAACCTTATTAAAATTAAGATAAGGATAATAAGTTATTGTTTCGTATCAAACTATCATTAAAGTTTTGTTTGATAAAAATAATAATAAGATAATTTAAATGTTAACAAACATCCAAAACATCATTTTAGATTTGATTTATTAATTAAATGCATAGAAATATTGAATGAATTAGTGAATAATATATTAAAAGTAATAGATGATAAAGCAATTGTTATTTTTTTGAATAAATTTGGAAAGGATTAGTAATAATTGTAGATTTGAATACATAATGGTAATAAGATCATTTTCAATCTGTTGTTGATATCTTAATAGAAAGCTATAAGGAAAGATTAGAAAAAATGAAAAATGATTATAAATAATAAGAAGAAAAATATCAAATGTAATTAAGAGGCTATTAATTAAAACTTACAATTGAATAAAAGATGAAAGCTTAATTAAGAGAAGAGAATTATAAAATTTGTTAGTAATATATTCATTTAGAGGACCAAATGAATGAATTTAATAATAATGAACATGCTAAAGGAGATCTTTAAAATATTAATCTAAAATTACATGAAATAGATTTAAATTTTATAAGATTCAATAAAGATATATATGAATCTCATTAACAAGCAGTAATTAGCTAAGTTATTAACTGTTAAACCAAATTTACCAAAATCATTTATACAATAAAAATATGAAAATTTAAACATATACAATAGAGAATAAAAACCTTTTGTTGAATTAATGATCAATCAATTGATTTTTGTTTTTTAAAATCTTATAACTTATCCTTCATAATCAGCAATTGAACTATATACAATATGGATACATATAGATGAATAGCAATTTGTTAGTACTCGTATAGAATTATTGAATAAATTGAATCAAAATAATAATAAAGATTTTTATATTAGTGTATGTCAATAATTATTATGAATTAATATTAAATTTCCTTCATCTCATAAGGTCAAGAACCATTAAAATATATTAAAATAATTGAACTTTAATAAACATCATCAAATTAAAATTAAGCAAGAAAATAGCTTATTTATTAAATCATCTAATGTAATTGATTTTGAAATAGATATTAATTTAACAAAGTAATGTAATTAAATTATATAACTATAGTTATTAAACTATTCTACCTTAATAACTTTAAGAATACATAGATAGTCAACTAATATGAAATTAATTGAAATTACAAATTAAACTATTGCATTCCTCGAGTAATAAGAAATATTAAAATGGAATTCATTAACTAAATTTTATCTAAACAATTTAAATAAATTTACATATCGTTTAGATTATATTGAACAATTTTACAATGTAGATCTATTTTTAGTATTTTATTTATTTCATCATTAGATTTGGTAGTTGATAATTATTCGTTAAAGATTTATAATAAATAAAAAATAAGATGAAATAATATGATAGAAGTTAAATTATATATAGACTAGATGTTGAAAAACGCCAACTAATGAATTATAATTAGTTTAATCTAATTCTCCTACTTCTAAAAAAGCATAGGTAAAATAGAAATATAGCCCTCAATTAAAAAAACAAGGACCAATTTAATCTGAAACATCTCGTAAGAAATGATTGATTTTATTTATTTTCTAAGAATATCAATTAAAATAATAATATAGATAATATAAATGAAATAAAGTCTAATAAAAGAAAAACCACCACAATATCATAATAATTAAATGTCAGATGTGCTAAAATATTTATTAAACTCTGATAGTAGAATAACTAATCAATCAATTAAGTTACCTCCATTATCCATAATAGATACAATATAATATAATTAATAATTATTATTTACGATAAAGAATTCATCTAACAATAAAAGATCAAGAATTTATTCATTTAATTAAGATAGCACCTATTAAGGAACATCTAGAATTGATTTAACATAATAAATTGAAAATGGAGAATATACACATAAGGAATTAGGTTCATAATCAAATGTAAAATATCCAAAATTGAAGATGCCTGAATAGAGTGAGAGATCAATAGATTGAAGTCCTTCCTTCTAATCAAATAAAACATCCAAGGTAATACAAAAATGAATAGAAGTTTAAATATCCTTCAATGTTACACTCAATCAGATGATAAACAGAATATTCTCAACTAATATCTTGAGGATAATAGTTAACAATTTAATGAACTTATATAAAAGAAAGATCTAGAGAAATTGATATCCTTTTTAAATTATCCAATCTAGTATTCATAAGAACTTAATCTAACTTTTATCTATATAATCTAATTAGTTAATTAAATTATTTAGTGACTTGCTTTTTTTGTAGATTTTTCGAGCATTCCTGTTTATTATTTATACAAATGTTTATAATATCCATTTATGCCAATTAATTTTTTGGAACTAAAATTTGATCTTTTATAAATTGATATTAAAAAATTATTTAGAACGAAATGATATTAGAAAAATCAATTTTAATTTATTTTTCTTATTTCCAATATTCATTAAAATTGTTCAGTTTGCTTTAACTCCTGGTTAAATATTTGATAGAATTAAGAAGAGAAGAATAGAAAAATTTTCTTATTTCTTCTGTAATAGCTAAAAGGTGAATTTTTTTTGTTAATCTCTTAAAACAATCAATTGTATTGTATTAGAATTATTTAGTAAGGAAGCCAAATATTCAACTAATAAAATTCTACCTTTGTATCGTTAATCAAAGATTATATATATAAATAAAACTCTTGACCTTTCTTTCAACTATATTTGAATTAGTAAAATAACTTGAATAATAAAGCTATAGTAAATTTAGTAATGAAAGTCTTTATTATAATAAGATTATCTTATATTAAATAAATTTTTGTTAATTCTCTTCTTATACTAAAAAATGCTTGAAAAGATTAAAGTAATTGTTCTCTATAATTTTATGTTTCAAATCAAGCATGCATAATTTAAAGAAGGACAATCGAACAATTGTAAATGATTCTTAAAACTTTAAAATTGCAATTAATACAATAAAAAGAAAACTCTAAGGAATAGGAAAAAAGAACAATAATTATAAACAGAGATTTGAAATAGGAAACAAATTAGTCAATTACAATATATAATGGTGTTTTATAAACAAAGGTAAAGAAAATTAAATAAAACAAAGTCATAATAAAATAAATTATAAAGAAAAAAACTTGTATGAGGTATTGTAAAATTTAATCTTTTGAATAAAAAGAATTAATTCATAAAAAATTTCGAAGTTCTTGATGAACATTTGAAAGTAAAATAAAATTTTTCCAACATAGGGAATGAAGGATTTTAATTAAGCTGATAAACTATTTTAAATAAATTAAAATGAAAAACAACAAAAGTAAAAAGATTATGATAATGAAAAAGATGATGATGATAAATTTTAATTATAAAAAGGGAAATAGAAAAATGATTAATGAAGCTGAAACACTTTTAGATTAAAATAGAAATGAAGAAGTATTACAATATATTAATTATGCTATTAATAGTAATCCTGATGAAGATATATATTATGCAATTAGAGGTAAATTAAAAAAATGAATAATAAAGCTCAAATACTTTTAAATTTAAATAGAAATGAAGAAGCATTAGAATTTTTTCATTATGCTATTAATAGAAATCCTAATAATGATGACTATTATGTCTTGAAAGGTAAACTGAAATTAATAATTAAAGCTCATAAACTTATATAAATGAATCGAAATGAAGAAGCATTAGAATATATAGATCATGCTATGAATAGAATCCTTATAATATTGTCTATTATAAATTCAAATGTAAAAGCAAAAATATTAAATAAAGCTCATGTATTAATGCTAATGAATAAAAAACGAACAAGCATGAGAATATATTGATTATTCTATTAATAGAAATCCTGATGAAGCTTATTATTATTCTTTAAAAGGTAAATTTGAAAATAATAACGATATCCCATACACTTAAGTAAATGAATAGAAATGAAGAAGCATTAAAATTTTTTGAATATGCTGTTAATAGAAATCCTGATAGTGAGAACTATTATGTAATGAAAGGTAAATTGAAAATAATAACATAAAGCTTATATGCTAATATAAATGAATCGAAATGAAGAATCATTAAAAGATATTGATCATATCATTAAAAGAAATCCTGATATTGATAGATATTAAGCACTCAAAGGTAATTTTAAGATAATAAATTAAGCTCATTCACTAATGTTAATTAGTAGAAACGAATAGGCATTAGAATATATAGATTATGCTCTTAATAGAAATCCTGATAATGATTAATATTAAGTAAACAAAGGTAATTTAAAAAATTATTAAAATGCTCGTACACTTATATAAATGAATTGAAATGAAGAAGCATTAGTACTTAATAGAAATGAAGTTAATTATTACTCATAAAATAGTAAACCAAAAAATGCATTAGATTGTTTATCTTTAGCATTTTTGACAAAGAATGAAGATACTGATTTTTTAACTAATTAACCGAATTCATAGTTTTTTAATCAAATATAAAATCTTCATTTTAGTGCAACATTGGTGAATTAGCATTTAATAACCCCTCTTTATTTTAATCCTTCCAAAATAATTCAAACTGATAATAAAATTTTTATTTGAATCTTATTATTTATACTGATATTTAATCGAGAAAAAAATATTTAAGTGTGAAAAATGTTATTATTAAGGGATTCTGTTTTGCTTGGTTCAAATTAGGGTTTTCTTTTTGCAACTTGTCTCTATAATCATTAGATTAATTAAATGGTTAATAAATTTTTTTGATATACTTATTTAGCTAGACTATGATTTCAAAAATAATTTAGATTTTCAAAGAAATAATCATCAAAACAATTATTTTAATCAAGAATCAATCTGCAAATAATTAAATATTTATAAGATTAGAACATAAAAATTTAATTGATATATTTTAATGTAAATGATAAAGTTGCTAATAGTTATAATGATTCTGAATATAATATTATGATTACATTAAGTGGTAGTGCAAGTTAAGCAAAAGTTACAAATTTAGCAAAGTTATAAAAGTTGCGAAATAATCAGTTTAAGGAATGTTGTTGAGTGTGTTTATGATATTTTTAAATCAAGTTACAAGTTGAGTTTTCTAACAAATCAATAAAAGCTTTGTAGACATATGAAGATTGAATGGTTCACTTAAATTTGATTTTTGGAAATTAATTCAAATATAATTTATTGAATATAAAAAGGGGATTTTTTAATAATCAAAAAGAATGTCTGAATTATGAAGAATAGGATTATAATTTTGCATTATAAAGAGGTCAATATTTTAAACTTAATGATTTGTTGCACTATAATAGTTTTTGTGATGAATTTATTTATAAGTGATAGAAAATCCAAATTAATATTAAATTATAGAAACGACAGTATTTTAATTAAATAAATATATTGTTAAAATACTTAATGCAAAAAAATTTAGTTGTAAAAATCCTAGAGATCACTACTGAATGTTAATTTAGATACTAAAACAAAAGGAATCAACACAACACAAACTCTGGATAGAAGCAATTTAATTGTTTTAGGAAAACGATAATTTAAGGAAGAAAGGAAAATTTGCCTAAAATTCCTTCATTTGATAATCTATAACCTAGGACTTTTCATAAGCAAGACTTTGATCTACTTCATATCTTTTATGAATATCATCAGCAACAAAAAAGTAATAAGAATAGTCTCCTTAAAGAATAATAACAATTAAGTAATATATAATTGAGTCTTAGTTCTCTGAGTTTTAGAAATAATATTCAAAGTAAAGATAAAATTCAACAATTTATTAGCTAATTGAATGAAATTACAGAACTTAATAAAAAAGATCTTTATTTAAGAATGTATAATTAAATAAATTGTATCTTTAAGAAATAAGATCGAATCATCATCCTCAAGCTAAATTTCACTAAGAACAAAGTATATTTATCTTAATACAATTATTAGTTATGTTAGTGCACTAATGAAATTGGCTTATGATTGTAAATGAGCCTAGTTTAGTTATAAGATTATGACACTTATAAATAATTTTATAAATTTATGAAAAAAAATTAATATCAAAACAAGGTAGCATAAGATATTTCTGCCATAATGCACCAACAATTGAATCAGAATGTTTATGTTGTAATAAAATTCACATACTGATGAACTTTTATTACGTATTTATAAAGAATGTTTCAAAGGGTTCATAACAAGAGTAATAATGTTTTAATGAATAAATTACAATTAGTTGTTATAATTTTGTATACTTTGTTCTTATTTATTTTTTCTTTCTTTTCTCTTGAAATTTACCATCTCTTTTTATCTTATTTTGTTTGCTATATATCTCATATAATCTGCCATATTGGCAGCACATTTCTTTCCCTAATTTGTCTCGAATAATATTCAACTATTCCTTTTATCAAGTGCCTTAACCTATTCTTCTCTTTTTATACTGACCCCTCCCTATGATCTTTCAAATGTTTTGTATTCATATATTATCCTTAGTGTAAAATCTATTAAACTCTATTAAATCTCCACTAGTTAAAATAGCATTAATTAGTTATTTTCTTTATCCTGTTGGTTTTTGTTCTAGCGCAATAATATTTTACAATAACATTGAAATTAATGAATTAACTTTCTTTCTTGATCCTTCTATTCACGAGTTTCTTTTAAAACAAAAATAATATGGCTTTTATGATGTATCCAATACTCATCCTATGATGGAAGGATATAATTAGGGATGTGATTTTGATAATAATTCATCAAATCTTCCTTTATATTTATTTAATTAATTATATTTTTTATTTAGAAAATGCTTTAAATTGATGAATTTTCTAATTTGCTACAATTTTATTAAATTGAGCTTAATTGATTTTTGAGATCTAAAACTTATTCTTAAAATGATTAGATATCGATTTTAAATAAATAATGAATTAGATTGAGATTTACCTTTTTATTCTTTAACTTATCTGATTCCTCTTTTACATTTTTTTTTAAACTATTCTACTATATTTTAATTTATTATTTAATTGATTAAAAGATTTCACTTTAAGTAAGTTTATTTAATAATGAAAATAGTTATATGATCGGCAATAATTTATTTTAAAATGCAATCTTGTTTGTAATCATTTACTTGTTTTAGATTTTAAATTTTGAATTCTATTTCATCAGCTTTTTCTTTCGTTTTAAAAATCTTTTTGTATATCACTTTTTAATTTTACTTCTTAATTTTAAAGATAATTTTTTATTAATTATATAAGCTTATAATTTTTCTAATGCCATAGCCTTAAATGATTATAATCTATTTTTTTTGCAAGACATATGAAGTCACTAAATTTAACCTATTCAAGTATTATAAAATATTTATATGCTATTAAATATTAATATTAAATGCCTTTAAATATTTGGACATGCAATAATAATTTTAATTAAATTTAATCATTTTAGTCCTTGGGATAATAAAAATTATATCAAAATAAGAAATTTATATTTATGTTTATCATATCCTTGCATTATTCATTTCAATTCCCTCTGAACAAGCAAATTATTTTTTTATATCATATTAAAATCAAAAATAAGAATTTTAAAGAAGTTTTGAGAATAGTCCTTATTAAATTAGATTAGTTTTCAAAATTACAACAATGGGATTTTTCAACATGAACAGGAAATTCTACGTTATATTAAAAGACTTACAAATATACAAGGTGATTCATTCACCTTCTACCAAAATCTTTGTTTTATTTATTTATCAAAGATTATTTAATTTTTTTTATTCATTTATCTTTTCAATAAAATTGAAAATTAACAATGATCACATTATATTTACTTGATAAAAACTGGGATCATAAGTGATGTTTAAAGCAGTCAAGATAAAGGGTTTGTTGTGCATGATTCATGTCTTGAAATGTTTTTATTTTTATTTTTATTGATTGGATTTGATTAGAAAGTATGTTTCTCTTGATATATAAAATATAAATACTGTGAATTAAATTACTATCGTACAATAACTATCTCAATAACTATTGTTTATGATTAGTTTATCACTTGACTCTTAGAAAATACAATATAATTAATTATTTATAAATTGATTTGCATATTAATTTGATTAAACCTTAATATAATGACAACTGTTTTATTAGCAACTCTTTAAGGTATGGCCTTAAAAAGCTGTAATTCAAGAATCTTGGTATACTCATAAGTTTGCCAATTAAGATCTAGCTATACTGTGATTTTGTATGGAAATGTAAAGTGTGATTCATATGATTTGGGAAGAGTAATTTTTAATTTTGTTCAGATAAATTATTGGTAATCTCTTTTAGATATTATTTATATAATAATTTATATAGCTTATGATTATCATGATGAATCTAATGGTGATGCTGAAAAGATGAGAATACCTTTGGATAACAATATCAATATTATCATGCAATAATTAAAGAGAACAAATGGCTTATAAATTGGAATGGATAATATTGAAATTAAATATTTTTTATAACCTTGTTCCAATTAGATCAAATTAAAAAAATAATATTATTTATTGATTGCGGGCAATTTTTTAGAAGGAAATAAATTGAACAAACTCTCATAATATGAACTTTAAGTCTCCATCATTTTAGTAGCAGCGTAAGTAATTAATCAAAATCAATAAATTCAAAGTTTATAATTTTCAAATTCTGTAAATAAAGGTTTGTTTATTATAGAGTTCTAATCTGATACCCCCTTCTTTATGAACACCCATAATAAAAATAAAATTTTATTTAAGTAAAATAAATATTTATTTTTACAATTACAATGATCACTTCGCCATTCAGAATTCTTTACTTCAACAATTTTCTAAGTTGATTCCCTTCCAAACATAATAAAATTAAGGCGTTATAGTAAATATTCTAAATTTAATGTAAAAAGCAGTTCAAATAGATAATTTAATAGATAATAATAATTAATAATATAACAATTCAAAAAGAATGTAAATTTAATCTAACAGGAATATAATGTGAATTTATTGAATAATCGAAATATGGTGGCCTATCCAATATTCATGAGGGTGCAATAAAAATAAGGCGGTAATTACAGTGAAGTTTCCATTTTAATGGTATTGTGTAAATTTATCAAATTATCATGTATTAATTTGAGTAATCTTTTTAAACTGCTATCATTCTACTAGTCTTTTTCGTGTGGGTTTGATTATTTCACCTTACATTTGGATACTTATACTTGCTATAAGATATATTCATTCTTTGAATATTTCGACTCTATTAAATATACTAATTTTACAACTGAAATAATAGCACTAAAGAATATTTATAATTATACACAATATAACCGTTTTGATTTCATTTAGTGCTAAAGGTGTGCCAATTTTGGAATTTGAAGCAAGGAGTATATTTATAAATGAGGAAAAAAATAGGTTTACTTCATCTAAATGAACTGAATTAAAAAAGCTGGTCTATGAAACTCTTTGAGATCCTAAATCTGAATATCAAATTATCAAGAATTGGCTAAATATCACTAACAATAAAGGCTATTTTAAATAAGCAATTTTTAGTATATGGTCTGTAAAGGCATATGTAAAAAATTAAGCAATTTCTAATAGAGCTATCATATTATATATAGGGGAAAAAGTTATACTGGACTAAGAATGAATTCTAACGATATAAATTTAATTTAATTTAATTATACTAATGTAGAATAATAATTTAATTATTATTCTAGGCCTAACATAATGCTTTTGTTTAGGATACTTAAATTTATACAATCAGTATGGAGAATAATCTATTAGGCAGTCTTGTTTTAATTTAAATTATAATTTACTCTCTCAAATTAAATAAATTTGTTTTGCTCTTACTTCTGCTTGAAGATATTAATCCTAAACTTACTTAGAATCCAAACTATTACAGACTCGAAGGAAAAAGTTTTAAAAGAAATATTTTATAATACTTAAATTAAAATTAAGAAGATATTTAGCACTAATTATTTAATTATACCCTACAACAATACATAAAGTTAAGCAATTATTGGTTAATTTGAATAATTATATTCATGATAGTCTATATATAAAGAGCAAAAGCAAAGAAAGTAAATAATGATATAATTGATTCGATCCTATTATTACACCTTTACTTTAATTTTCAATTTAATATTGAAAAAAATGATAAATAAATAAATTAATTAAAATGATAAAAATAAGCCATCCATAAAAATAATTGTTTCTTAACAAAAAAAATTATCAGATAGATATTTTATTATTTTTATTTGCAAACAAATATGCTGTCTTCAAGAGAAATAAAATAAGAAATTACCAAAAGAATTAACCGCATATAAATATAGCGACCTTATAAAAATGAAGAGAGAAAAAAACAACACTATATTTCTTATCAACTGATTTTTATAATTGAGAAAATAAATATAAATTTAAATTAATTAATTAAAGTCATGCAATATAATTCTACATACAATAGAATTCAAATTATTATTACATCATTATTTGTTAAAATATAATTAATTATTATTAATGGCTTTTTATATTTTAAGGATATATCTTATTCTTCCACTTTGTTTATGTAAGTTAATTTTATACTATTATAGTAACATTAAGCTGTAATTAAGGATAGATTGAAATTGACGGTATATGTTCCGATTGTTCATCTAATTGTTAAAGTTGTTTAGCTCCTGGTTCATGCAGCACATGCAATCCAGGATATCGTCTAAACATTTTACAATTGTGTGTTGCTTGTTCAAATGGGTGCTAGGTTTGTTCTTCATTATCATGCACAACTTGTTTTCCAAAGTTTTATAAATCAAGCTCTAATTGCTATGTTTGTCCAACTTAATGTGCCACTTGCACATCAAGCACTGTATGTTAAACCTGTTTGGATAATTATTTTATACTAGGGAGTAGTTGTTCAGTTTGTGATGTTTCTTGTAAGACATGTGAAAATTCGAGCATTACTTGTACTTCATGTGATGTTGGTAAATATTTATCAGGTTCATAATGCTTTCTTTGTTATGCTCCATGTTTTAGTTGTATCAACAATCCAAATCATTGTACTTCGTGTATTGACCATAATTAAAAAGTAATTAATTTTCAATGTGTTTGTAATGATGGATATTACAAGGATGAATTTAATTAATGCTAACTTTGTATTTAACCATGTTCTAAATGTGAATTTAATGCTAACAATTGTACAGATTGTGTCTTTACTTTTACATTAAGTCTTTAAATACCTAATAAATGTGAATGTTCTATTGGATATTTTTCATTTGATTCTGAAACTTGTAAATAATGTTAAGCTCCTTGTCAAAGTTGTGAACAGGATGTGAATCACTGTCTCACTTGCATTGATTAAAATTAAGTTGTAAATGAATTAAATACTTGTGTATGTAAAACAGGATGGGTTCTTAATATTGACGGTATCACATGCATTTAATGTTAATTGCCATGTATAGATTGTGTATAAACAATAAATATATGTGTTACTTGCTAAGATTAATCTCATTAATAACCAGATTCATGTAAATGTGAACCTGGCTGGATTTATGACAGCCACTACTTTTGTGTTCCTTGTTTATAACCATGCGATACTTGTGAAATATCTACATCCAGATGTCTATCATGTTTAGATGACAATCATGAAATAAATAATTAATCCTAATGTGTATGCAAAACTACTTTTTATTCTAATAGTCTAACAACATGTTCAAAATGCAATGAGCCATGTTATGAATGTGATTTAAATGGATGTATCAATTGCATAGATACAAATTAAATCATAAATTCCAATTATTAATGTGTTTGCAAACCTGGATATGTTTTATAAGGAGTTAACTGTTTCCAATGTTAAATTCCTTGTTCTACTTGTGTTAATAATGTTAATGATTGTTTAACATGTTTGGATTTTAATCAAATAGTCAGCAATTATTAATGTAAATGCAAAGAAGGTTTTGTACTGATAGGGGATGTTTGTTGTGATTAATATTGTTTTGATTGTTAGGGAATGAATAACTGTGTGGTCTGTCAGAAAGGATTCTATTTAACTACTAATAGTAGGTGTTCTTAATGTATTGATCATTGCAATATTTGTTTTAATCAAAAAAATTGTGATAAATGCCAAGATGGGTATTTTATTGATTAAAATTATCAATGCTAAATATGTTCTCCATATTGCAATATATGTAATCATTAATCTACGTGCGATACATGCTTTAATGGATATTATTTAAATAATCAAGTATGCGAGATATGTAATACAAATTGTTTAACTTGTATTTTATCAGCTGATAAATGCTTAACTTGTAAATTAAATTATTAAATTAACATCAAGAATTAATGTGAGTGCAAAAATGGATATTATGAATAAGAAAATGAATGTTTTGAATGTTAATATCTCTGTTAAAAATGTTTAAGTTCATAAATATGTGAATAATGTGTTTAACTTCCAAATTTATTATTAGATATGGATTACTAGTGTAAATGCGCTAATGGGTACTTTTGGGATGAAAAATTTTGTTTATAATGTGATTAAAAATGTTTGACTTGTTAAGAGGATTCAATTAATTGTTTGAGTTGTGCTCAATCAAGAATTTTATCAAAAAATAGATGTGTATGCAAGGATAATTATTTTGAAAATGAATATGGATTCTGTATTTCGTGTGACAATGATTAAGGAAAAACTTAAGAAATTTGTAGATATAGAAACTGTTCGGATTAAATTTGGACATATGGAGAAGAATGTGATGATGGAAATAATGTAAATAGAGATGGTTGTTCAAATTGTAATATAGACTTAAATTACACTTGTTTTAATTAATTGCTAAAACCATCAATATGCTTATAATGTCAAGCAAATTGTCTAAAATGTAAATTTAATCCACTTTCAGGTAAGTCCTAATGTATTCTATGTGCAACTGGCTATTTTTTAGATAAAAATAATTGTGTTGAATGTTCAGCAAACTGTCTGGAATGTATTGATCGACCTAATAATTGTTTAAGTTGTAAATTTTAATAAAATTAGAATGGCAAATGTTCTAAATGTGAATCTGAATAAGGTTATTTTTTCAACGTTTTAGACAAGTACTGTTAACCAATTTGTGGAGATTAAATTAAAGTTTATAATGAATAATGTGATGATGGAAATATTATTGATGGAGATGGATGTGATTCTAATTGTAAAATTGAATATTCGAATGCTTATTTGAATAAGTAAAAAAATTTTGAAAAGTTAGGTAAAAATTAATTTAAGTTTTGGTTAAATAACAATAGAATTATAAGCAATTTAGACTGCCTTACTGCCAACATTTCTATAGATTATTTTGGAAAAGATGAATTCTTATTCAATTCCACTTAAACTGATCATTCATGTAATGTTTAATTTTAATTTTTTAAATCAATTTTTGCTAGCAACACTATTCATATTTCGTTTTAAATTTTATAAATCAAACAAAGATTGTTATTAGAGAATTAAACTAATATGTTTATTAATTATGATATCATTCCAGAAGATTTTATAGTTTTATCCCAAAGTGAAATAGATTAAATAGAAGGAATCGAAAATGCATAATCGACATTTGCATTTATATTTCTTATTTTGATACCAATTTCTATTATTGCAAATTTGTTTGATTATTTATGGACTATTTTAGAAATATTGAGTTGGGTCAATAATTTCTATTTTTTAAATGTTAAATTCCCCTTTAATGTTGAAGCTTTTCTTAAGAACAGTGATTGGTCAAACCTAATAACCTTTCCAACTTATTAAGAGTTAAACTAACCTGGATGTGATTATTATTTCAAAGCGCCTAAAAAATTTGATGATAAAGGAATAAATCCATTATTTATTAATAATGCATAAGTACCATTTTTATTTATTTTGTCTGCTGTTACTCTTTATTTATTCAATTATTTAATTAAATATTGTTTTTAAATTTTAGATGTGTATTGTAGCAAAACTATTAAATCAAGAGACAAACATTTAAGTATTTTTAAGATTGAAGAAATCAATCCCTCTAAGAAAAAGGAAGATTTTAAGAAGGAAGAGGTAGTGAAACATAAGCAAATACTTCATAAAATAGTAAACCTTTTATAGAAAACTTAATAAGGGCTTAAATAAAAAATTAAATAAACTATTTCATTGTGCTTGCTTGATATTAGCTTATCAATTTTATTACAAATAACAAGCAATTCTAGTTCATAAAACTCTATTGTTATTGGAAATCAGTATTTGGCTTATTTATCGATAAACTTGATTTTTTTTCAACTTTATTAATCATATTAAATAGTAAATATTCATCCTCATTTAGCTGAAAATATGTTTTATAAAGAAAGGTATGGAATTTATTATGATAAAATAAATACTTCAAATTCATTTGGTCTATATTATTTTTTTTTAGGATTACTTAAAAAACTTCTTTATATTTATTTTATGGTAACTTCCTACAATTCACCAACAATACAAACTTTATTTTGTTTTGCAGCAAATTCGATTAGCCTTGCAATTTTGTTGTACACAAACCCATTTAAAACTAAATTTCAATATTTAATTTAATTAACATTTGATATTTGCTTGAGTACTATAATTTTTATCACAATTGGTTTTTCTATGAACGTGAATAAAAAAGTAAGATTTATCGAAGAAAATAAAGTTATTTTAGGTTGGGCTATCATTTCATTAGTAGTCATAGCAATCTCTGTAGAAATTTTCATGTTAATGTATGAATTGATACTTTAATTTTATAATTTGTTAATGTACATCAAAAGTGCAATCTAAAAATAATAATAAGAGGAAACAAAAAATGAGCAGACGGGTGAATAATCAAATGTTTTATAAACTAAAAAGAAAGATAATATAAATGTCAATAAGAATAAGTTGCAACTTTCAAGAATAGCAAAATAATCTTCTTTGAGATTTCATTAGAGAGAATGAGAAATGAGTACATTATTTTACAAAATTATATAAATTTAGTGTTTTTTAGTTAGAGTATTAGTTACAGACATCAACTAAGAAGTTCATGCAATAATGATGGAACAGGATTAAAAAAAAGAATTTCATTCTTGAAATTAGTTTTGTAAAGCATCTTCTGCTTGAATTTTGGTAGAATGAGCAATTAAAATTCACATTATGATATTATCGAGATAGATACTTAAGCGTATATGTGTCAATAAAAATTGATAGGATGCTAAAATTTCTATTCAAAAATGATTTAGGCACATATATCGCATATTGGATTGTTACTTTGGTAATAAAATTTTCAACATTTCTAAAAATTTCTTCAATTAAATATTATCATGTAGCTGAAAGTATTCCTCCATAAAAATACTATAAGACATGCTAAAACTTAGTCAGCATTCTTGTAATTAAAATTAGAGATTTTTCCAGAGAATTCTATATATTAATAATCCCTGCTTTATTATTTTTAATAAAACTTTTAGTAATTTACTACAATTTACTTCTACTAATTTTGGTATTAAGACTGAAGAACGTCTTATTAAATTTGTAATACTTATGCTATAGCGTGCCGAAGATATTAATATTATTCATTCTTGAAAAATGACCTATCATCTATTAAATCAATAATTTAATTAAAATTTGATGCCATTTTGAAAGGAATTTAATAAAATATAAAAATTACATCATCATTAATTTTTTCCTATTTAATAGCCCTCAAGATATTATCTTAAGCCCTTTTATATTCAGGATGCCTAACTATTAAACGAAACTCTTTTAGAAAATTACTATTATTCAAATATTATGAATGTTATGAGTATTAAATTTTATGCTGATAAAAAATTTACAGAATTCTTTTCCATAATATATAGATCTGGCTTATTACCTTACTTTAAGTATTATTAAATAATAAAAAGTTAATAATCTATTAAGAGGCTAATTTTATATATTTTATAAATAATTTGTTATTTAATTGTTCTTTTTCTCTTTTAAAGTTATAATTAATTTCCTTGATTTGTAACACAAGTTATTGTTTTAATGTAAGGATTTTATTAAATATTGATGTCTATGTGCTACTTATTTTCTTTATTGATTTCTTGTGATTTTTCAGAATTATCCGAAAATTACTTAGGGAGAGGTTATATAAGCTCTTAAAAAGTAATAGTGGTTTCAAAAAAAAATCAAAATTTTTCAATTAAAAACCAATTTTTCTATCAGCAACTAACATTCTCGCTTAAAGTTAATGCTTTAAACCTAAAGGTCTATATCACAATAATTAATTTTTGTTGTCTTATATAATTATGAATATCTTTTTTTCTCTAATACTTTATTTAATGAGTAAAGTGATATTTTTAGCAGCAATACGTTAACATTACGGAGAAAAATTCTTTCTGCATTAACACTTTTGTAATTTTTTGTGGATAAACTTTAATAGAAATGGAAATCACATTTCAAATCATTAAAAGAAATATAATATTTTAAATTAAGTTATTTAAAGAAAGAAAATTTGTTCTCATCAAAAAGTTATGAAAGATAGAAAAACTATCTCAAAAAAATAAATAATGTGAATATCTATTCTTGAGTCTCAAATGAGATGATTATAAATAAAATATTAAATAGAATTAAATCTAAATAAGGAAATCATGTACCTTCATAATTTTATAAAAATAATGATAGAATAAGATTTTATTCCTTTGAAATCTTAGATGAAGGATTGCCGGTGGAGATTATTTATAAGTTGAGTCAAGATCAGTTTAAATAAATTGTAATTTTATATAAATATATGAATTTAATGTGTTTTCAGATGCTAAAAAAAATTGAAAGGTGGGTAGATGAAGGGTTTTATTGAAAAAAGTCACTCATAAACATGTATATGATTTCTATCGTATAAAGGTCGGTAGATGGGCAAAAATAATTTAATTAAATATAAATATCATTTAAAAATTAGGAATATAATATTTGTTTAGCAGTAGCGGATCATATGATTCAAAAGGACATTAAAAAAAAAGATTGGAAAGTTAGTTGAAATGGCACAATTATTTTAGATTGATAAATAAGTCGCTTCAAGTGGATATTAATAGTATGGGAATGAAGGTAGGTAAATGGGATATTATTTATTGCAAATTTTAAATCAATAAATATTATAATAAATATAACAATTATCTAAGCAAAAAGAACATAAAAATTGGTGTAATGTTGATGGATCATTTGCTAAAGAGGGAAATTAAATAAGATTGGAAAATGTGGAGAATTATCTGAAGGATTTAAATTGGATAAATTATTCTTGGTTAATATAACGAATGGTATAAAAAAGTAGATACTTTGGTGGAAATAGATATTAAAAACAACCTTAATGGTAGAGAGACGATATATAATTAGATAAAATAAATACTATTTATTAAGAGCCCATTCATTTATTTACCCTATCTAATGGAATTAAATAACCCTTCTCTTAATCTAGATCATAACATTCAAAGTTTGCAATTTTCTGAGTGTTTTGTTATTAGAAGTAGTATTTCTAATCATAATTCTCTATTTATTTTGAAAGACCTGTTCTAATGTAAAAGAAGCTAGAAGATAAGGTATTGGGTCATATCTATAAAGTTTAAGAAGGTACTAAATAATTCAGATGACCTATCCCTTATTAAGCTCAATTGCTTTTATTTCTTGGTTAACAAAAAACTTAAAATTGCATCATTTGACTGTAGTTTTGGCAAGTTGCTCAAATGATTTGCTGTTATGGATGTTATTATGATTTTCTATTTTTTAATAGTAGATTAAGCTAATTAAATTATTGAAAAAAAGGTTTTAAATATTTCAATTTTACAAGTTTTGGTCTTAACTCTCCACGATATTTGCATCAAATAATTATGAAAGTTTTTCGTTTTTTAATGATTATCATTTTATTAATTAAGTTATTAATAATTTATTTTCATAAAAAATAATAAATACAACATCAAACTTTACTTATAATAGGAATTGTTCTGGTTGCTATATTATCGAATCACAATATACCAGTTAAAGAAGATATACTCATTCGAAATTATTTTAAAATATTGGCTTAAAAAGGATCAATTTTTTAATTAATATTTATTTTGAAACATCTTTTTGTTATATCATTTTTTACTTTACTATTTAAAATACTGAAATTTAATTAAAAGCTTTTGACAGATTCAAATGAGAGAACCACTGAAAGTAATTTGAATCGGAATAAAACTAAATATGATCAATAAAAATATAAAGTAACTTATTCTAAATAAAATCTATTTTTTTGTGCTAATCTTTTCTGCTCTTGGCTAGATAACGATGGGAGGATTTTGACCATTAGAAAAAGTTGTTTCATCAATAATAAAAAATTATTAACCTTACCATTTTTGTGTTTTTTTTTATGATTGAAAAATTTTATAAAAAAAAATTTGTTAAAAATGGAAAAAACATCATGTTTTTCTACTGCTTCATTTATTATATTTAAATATTCCTTTTACTATTTGAAACTGCCTCTCTCTAAACATTATTTTTATCTTTCGGGCTTCTATTATTATATTTATTTACTATTATTAATTATTTAAATCTGATATAATTATAATTTAAATTGTTTATATAATTATCAATATTATTTTATCATATTTTGAAGAGAAAATAAAAATTTTATCTATTATTGTAAACTTAAGTAATTAAAATTAATGTTATCATGTAAACATGAAAATTAAAAAACAATTTATCATATTTTAAATAAGATACAAGTTCTAATTAGTTTTTAGTGTGAACATAAATCAATCTTATTTTAGTCATATTTAAAATGAAAATATACATCATTTTAAATTTATATTAATTTTAGGAAGTTTAAAAAAATCTTTTTATTTTACCATTTATAATAATTTTTATAAATATCAAATTTACAAATACCTTTAAATTTTATTCTTGTTTGATAAAAATAACTAATTCTATTTACTTGATTAACCTATTTAAGATTAGTACTCACATTGTATGAGAATCATGATTTTTGATTTAAGGATGATAAGTCGATAGAGTTTATTATTAATTGATTGAATAGCTTTAAATTAAAGTGTCCTGACCATTCTACATGAATTGATTTACTATTTACAAAAAAAAAGTTTTTAAGTATAATTCAGTATTATAGACAACTTAATTCTTTAAGTTTTGAATTATAATTATTTAGTTCTTTCTCTACTTAATCATTAAAAATTATTTAGTATTATTATTACTAATGATTTTTAATTCTATATTTAATTTTTATCTATCTTAATATACCAAATTCTTTTTTGTTTATTTCATCAATTTATTTCTAGTTTTCTTTTTTCAAATTAATTATTACCCTAAAATCCTTATTTTGATGTTTAATAGTCCTATTATCTATCAATTATTTAATTAGTCCTTAAAATTCTATCCTCTATCATCTAATACTTATTTGAATTCTTTTATGAATCTGTTAAATTAAATTTATTGTTAATAAAAAATCACGCAATATTTCTTAATAAAGTTCTAATCATAAAAGTTTTATTTCATTATACAAATATAATAATATTTAATTATTAGATATGTTTATAGACATAATTATTTTATTTATTTATTTAGAAAGTTCGATAATTAGATAACTTATTCTAGCATACCAGCTAAATCCATTACTTTAAAACCTTCTTATTTAACAATTATAAATCCTTAATAATATATTTTTAGCCTTCTCCATAAATGTACTCAAAATAAATTATTCCTATTTAATAACAATAACATGTAGCAACTCCAGAAATTATTCATATATTACCAATTGAACCCTAATAACACTAATTAGCATAATAATAAGATTGATTCTGCTATAAGCAATCAGAATGAAATATATGATGACAAAGTGTATATCTACATCTAGAATTTTTTTAATATTCCAATAAAAAACCTGAACATGCCTCCTAACTTCTAATTCTTAAAATTCTGGAAATTCTATTATTTAAGAATATAATAATTTTGGCATATATTCATCTAAAATATAAGAATTTAAAGTTGATTTATTTTTTCTATTATTATTTTAATTTATAAATTAGAAACTGTATTTGTTTCTTCATGTATTCTTGAACTTCTTCTATATCTTATTAATATTATACTAATCCAAGCTATTAATTAACATACTACACCATTTAAATTAATATCTAAATATATTATTATAAATAATGATTTCAAAGATAATCATTTGAAAAAATATATATTAATAATTTTTTACTTTGTAGATTAATTTCAAATATTTACATATATATATATGTGATAATAAATTATATTTATTGTATAGTGCTCTAAAAAACACATCTAAAAGGGCTGCTCAAATTAAAAATTAGATATATTTGATAAGTCAATTTTACATAGAACTTATCATTAAGATCCTTAAAAGTCCCCTAATTAAGTTATATCAAGAATAACGAATAAAGTAAGTTATGTCCCAAAAAATTTATAAAAACAGTATAGTTTTAATGGAAAAAAATGTAAAGTGCACAAGAATGAAATTATGAATGATAAAAATATAGGTGAGAAACATCTTTCCTAATAGTATGAAGAATATATTTAACTCTTATCAGGTCAGGTCAGCTCATTAAAGAAACAAAAAAGAAGGTAATTAGCAATTTAGAACAGGTAAATGAAATAGATTATAAAAATTTCGAGGTTAATTATTTTTGAATTATATTCATATCTTATTCCTTAAAAGGAATTAATCAATCAATCAATCAATTAATTACAGAATTCAAAAAAACAAATTAGATTGATTAATAAATATAGTAATAATTATCATAAGAATGTGGAGATTTATATGAAATTTAATATAAATTGTAAGAAGAAATGAAAATAATAAATGAAGAACTTGAAAAATTTTCAAAATTAAATTAACCAATATTATTTTATAAAAATAAGTGATTTAAATATATTGATAAAATCATCAAATAGGATTATAATTTTACATGTATTTACAAGGACTGTCTACATTTTATCATAAAAAGAAGTGAATTTTTTAGAATTTAAAATATTTTTTTCTTTAAACAATTTAAAGGATGTATTATTCTTCTAATACTTAAAATTTGATATAATTTTAAGTCTTTTTATTCTTATACAAACTCATTTTATCATAAGGAACTATTTTTAGGTATTTCTAAATCTAAAGATTTTTATAAAATATGAAGTAATTCTCATAAATTTTAAGGATTTATTATCTACAATCCCCATCATTATTTATTACAAGATTAGGACCTTAATTATTTATTTTAATTCTAATTACAGGTTTATTTGGTTATCCATGAATATCATGTTATAATGTAATAGGTATAGTTTAAGATGAATTAGAAATAAAGAATAATAAATTGTAAAATAATTATTTAAGTTATTTCTCATCTTATTCTATATTTTATTATTAACTATTCAATTAATTTATTATGCTAAATTAATATCTTTGTTTATATCATAAAAACATATTGCTCTAGTTAATTCATTTAAACAATCAATAATATTACATTTTTTAATAATTGATTATTAGAAGTCAAAATTTATAGCACTAAAATCAATTATTTAAAAAAATCATTATTAGCTTTAATACTTTATCCATAAATAGATTATTAACATCTATTTATTAATAAAATTTCTTCTTTTTTTATTTGCAAATTTATAAATCCATAAAAGAAATACGAACTTAATGTTTAAATATTAATGAAGTTTAATCTAATGATTTCTTTCTCATTTCATTTCTCAAAGAAAATTCTTCTAATTTAACTTCTATCTTCTTTTCTTATAATATAAGAATAAAACAAGGATAAATATCAAAACTTTATTAATTTTATCGAATAATATTTTTACTCATAAAAAACCTCTCTTAGTATTTAATTATTTTCAATTTAACCATCATCTATAGCAATCTTCTATATTTTTGATCTTTAAGAAATAATTCAAACAAATATGGTTTTAATTTTTATTTTCTTTAAGTTTAATTAATAGGATCTTAACCTCAGATAGATCCGAACCTTCCTGAATTTGTAGTTTATTGAATTTTCATATTATTCAAATAATCATCGATGTCCTCCAATATTTATTTATAAAATTCTTTCAAATCATCTTTCTAAACTAAATAAATTTTTTTTCTGCTTTAATATGTATAATGAAGTTTAAATATTTGTTAAATCAAATATACCCTTTAATGTTGTTGCTCTTTTCAAATGATCAAGAAATACAAATTTTATAAATAAAGAGATGCAAAGATTGTTATTTTATAAGCTAATTCCTAAAATCTCCTTCTGATATCCTACTTAAACTCACTAAAGATGATTATAAAAATTTTATATCTAAATTAAAAATATTGATCACACTACAATATTTAAATTTTGATTTACCCAAAAGTGCCAACTGTTATAAAATAGCGATCTACATATTAATTTTCATTGAAAAATATTTTGTTATAGGATAGTATAAATTATAATTAACAACTACAAACGTTAAAAAGAAATCATATATTTTATGACGTTGTGCTATAAATTTATAACTAAAAGTTACTACTATCCAATTAAATATTATAAAACCCCTCCCATTCTTATTCTATAATTTTTATTATTGTAGAATAAAGTCCCATAACAATAACAATGAATATATTATTATTCTATAGATTATTTTTTATGGATAGTTAAGTATTATTACTCGACATCTTTTTTCAAAAAAGTCAAAATTTTGCTTCTTCTTCATAAGTCATTACAGATTAACTTGTTGTAACCTCTTCAGTCAATGTTTCTATGTGTTAACGAAGTTTTTCAATTTCTTTTTATTGATTTTATATATGCTCATCTTTATCATCTCATTATGCTTTATAAAATTATTTTTATTATCTTAATGCTTCTAGTTCTTATCTCAAATCATTATTATCATTATTATTTAATTTACATATTTAGAGTTTATATATTCTATTAAAACTCGATTTTCATATCAGAAATAGTTTTATCTTTTTTTTATAAAAGTATCTTTTTCTTCATTGTTCAGGTTATTGTTGAGATTAATTAATTCTATTTTTTAATTCTTTCATTCTTTTATAAATA